TGTATGTATGGCTGCGAAAGCTTTGCCATGTATCAGTGAGATCGTCAGTCTTATCATATCCTGTGTTATTAAGTCGTTTCAGAAGTATCCGGACACCTGACTAATGCTTATTATGCGCTATGCAGAATGCAGTATGTACTAATTTGTTATTGTTTTATCATACGTCCCGACGGTGCCTGGTTATTAACTTTTTCCGGATATCTGGTACTTGGCAGCCCTTTGCGTTACCATACTCTACAGCACACCAGCTAAATACAGCCTGAACTTCTATCTATAATATAATGGCAAGATGTATCAATGCAGGTTGGGAAAATAACTATACAGAATAATACTAGAATATACCTAGATAATAATTGTGTAGATAGCTGTCTGGAACAGGTACAAAAACAGTTGTCAAAGAGGTGTGAAATGACTATCAAAACAGTTGCTAAGACAACTGTCAAAACAGCTTCCAAAATGACCATCAAAAAGTTTCTGAAATGACTGTCCAAATAGCTTCCAAGATGATTGTTACAACAGCTACTAAAATGGCTACCATAATTGCTGTCAAAATAGCTGCTGCAATGGCTGCTGCAAAGCCGCTACTGCAATTTTCGGCTTGAAAAGAACATTGAGACTACTGTACTGCTGAAATTGCTGAGAAAACTGGTGCTGCATGGCTGTCAAAATAGTTGTTGAGATGATTGCCAAAATAGCTATTCACATGGGTATAAATGCTATCAAAATGGTTTCCAGAATAGAATCCACAACAGCAGCCATGACGGCAGTAGCCATGGCAGCGGTTCAACTACTACTACTAGGAGCTAGTCCAGAAGTATACTAATGCATATGTGCCGGGCCATTCGTAACAACGTTCCAGTGGCCACTGGCCCGGACCAGTGGCCACTAGCCCGGACTACTCAACGGAACGCTGGTTCGTGATCACACACTAGTACAACGCATTGACCTTTTTGTTCTGCGCACAGAACTACAACAGAATGTTGGTATGTTGGTGGCTGTTAAAATACTAGAAGGTTCGGAATTGTAATTGTCTAAATCATTTGTTTATTTTTTTGTTTTATTTACTCAAGTATTTAAACTTGATATTTTTCCATGCTGTCGGTATTTTGAATGTATTCTACATATATCGCATTCTGTACCATACACTTCTCTAGTATACAACGCCAAGCCTATCTTATTTACCTAAACTGGTAATTACTTTTCAGCCTCATTCCTTAACAATCTTTACCTATGGAGCCTTTTACACCCGAAATTCGCCATCAATTCGAGCTATATATTCAATCTCGGGATCATACAAATAGATATCAAATGGAACCTCAGAAGTTACGTGAAATCCGAATTTTCTGTCGTGATCCAGAACGGCCCGTGTCTTCAGCAGCTGAGAATAATGTTAAAACTCTTGCTAAGGTAAGTATAACCTATAATGAGATTAATAAGATATTAACAAATTAGAAATTTTTTATTAATGAGGATGGCGTTCTAATGCGCAAAGCGAATCCTCCCCAAAACGAATACCATCGTGAGGTTATTATAGAAGATCGAGCATTTGACATTATTCAAGATGTTCATTGCAATCTTGAAGCTGTTTTTCCTGTCGCCGGAGGGGGTCATTCATCACGCTGTATTTTTTTTTGCCCTGTCGCCGGAGGGGTCCTTGATGAAGCTGATTTTTCCTGTCACTGGAGAGGTCCTTGATAAAGCTGTTTTTTTCCTGTCGCTGGGGGTCCTTGATGAAGCTGTGTTTTCCTGTCGCCGGAGGGGTCCTTGCTGCTGCTGTTTTTTTTTTTTTTCGCCGGAGACGGTCCTTAATGAAGCTGTTTTTTCCTGTCGCTGGAGGGGTCCTTGGTAGAGCTGTGTTTTCCTGTGGCAGGGAGAGGTCTTTAGTGACGCTGTTTTATCAAATAGTGGATGTGTGGATACGCGAGTGTGTGTGTGTGAGTTTGAGAGGGTGAATTGTAGGTAGAATGAGAAAATTCAAATTCTGAGTGGCCCGGGCCAGTCACGAACCAGCGTTCCATTGAGTAGTCCGGGCTAGTGGCCACTGGTCCGGGCCAGTGGTGAGTGGCCCGGGCCAGTGGCCACTGGAACGTTTGTTACGAATGGCCCGGCACACATACATACTGCATACTACATATTATGCATCACTCAGGTGTCCGGATACTTTTGCAATGACCTCTATTTTTCTACAGTATAGTAATCGAACCCCGACATCAATAGCTTTCTATCAACGAAACTTTTCAAGTCCGTGGGTTTGGAACGCTATTGTTTAGAATAATCTTTTGAACACACTGAAGCAAATTTAGAAATAAGTACTATACCAGTGCCTAAGCTTAATGTTATAGAACCCCATTCTCCTCTCAGAGTTTGGAATAGCTAACGTGCATCCTTGCGCACAAACTCTCCTCTCTCATGCATCATGACTTGACTGTTTGCTTCAGCAAAGGTGGTACTTTGAAAAAGAATTTCACATAAGCTAGGTGCTAGGTATGCTCCATCAGACTAAGGGAGCCTCGACAGCCTGGAGTTTGGTAAGGTTTAACCTTCACCACACTAGTGTCACGCACAAAACACAACGTATGAAACGGACGTATGACGATGTATGCGGGGTAAGATTCATGTTGAGTTTAAGATTTTAAAGTACTTCGTGAAGTGGGTAAGGGAAGTATGAAATTATTTACGACGGACACGACACGAGATTTGAAATAAGAACAGTCTCGAAGCAACTAAGATTAGTACAATTTTTGTTTGAGCGGGCTCAGTCAAGCTCGCTTAGCAAGCACCGACTCGAGCGGCGGGCTTGCTCCCAGCAGAGGGAAGTATTTTTTTTCTTTTTTCTATATCATTAATCGCATGCCGCCCTGTGGGCGAGCGGAAGGTATGTAGATCCACAAGTAACTGATAAACATGCTTCACTAAATATACGCGCCCTACTGATATCTGTTGGTTGGAAAGGCCGAGAGAGAGAGAGAAAGAGATCTGAGTGTGTCCAGGAAAATAAATGCATGACCTTTGCCGAGCAGGGCATGGCAGGAGAGTGGTGGAAAATGTTGGGAAAGGAAGAACATATAAAATGTAGGTGGGGTGAGGAAGAATGACAGACGACAGAACATTTGGCGCTCAAGTGCAAAGGGGTTGGTTACGAGACTACAAAGGGATACTGTGGCCTACCTAGAGGTGGAAGTGGGACGATGTTTGACATACGAAAGTGGGTGCAAGAAGTAGAAGGGGAGGAGATAGAGGAGGTAGAGTTCTTTAGAGAATCTTTATTACCATACCAGCATAAGAGTGGATGGGAGAGAAGGGGAGCATGGAAATAGGCATGGAAATAAAAAAAAATATAAAATAGAAATAAAAAAAGCCTTCGTCGGGCGTCGATGTATCCGCTGGAGACGTTAACTTGATGTATGGAGAGTTAATCAATGTGCGACGCAAAGACGTATGAGTGGCAACGAAATCAGAACTCGCTACAACGCTCAGCGTTCCAAGCCCTCTACTGGGAGGTCTCAGGGCAATGCTCATTAGGAGAGTATGGGGACTAGATGATGATGTCTCATCGACAGATGGGAAAGACAAAGGAGCAAAATTGTAAGTATGTACAAAGATGCGAGAAATAAGACGAGATAGTAGAACAGTAAACAGTCTAGATCTGATGAACAACGAAGATAGTAACAATCCGTACATCTAGAAATCCTTCAAGTACGCCCCTCATATTCCGACTTACCCTCATCCACGAGTGCATCTTACCCGTACATCAGCATACAGTGGAAACTCAGCACCCCCCCACCAAGGGCCTCGGGAGCGAGTTGTATAAATGGAGGTATGGAGCTGGGATACACACACATTAGTAACTATTATGTAGGATGATAATGAGGCAGTGTTGGAACGCTGTAACGACAAGAGGGGGAAAAAAAAAGAAAGTAAAAAAATTGAAGAGATAATACACATAAAAACTGACATTTCGCGTTAGTAAATCTGCGGTTCCCAAATTGAAAACATGTATTAGGTACTTACATAAAATGTAATTCCTACGGAAAGAGCCCAGGCTTGGGGCACCAGAGACTTCACCAACCCACAGTACATCCTATGCTATGGTTCGCACCGGCAGCTTGGTGGAGTGTGTGTGTGCAGGCAGGGGTCTGGGCGGCTATGCCACGCTGGGGGAGGCCTTAGATTTACCTATGCATGTACTAGTAAGCCTTATGCAGGATTTGAAATTTATATCACCCTACTTAGAATACGTATGTCGTAGTCTCGTAACCAGACGCTGGCTACGTATGTACAAGATACTGTACCTCGACAAAGTACCTAGGTACATAGGCCCCGGCCCTTCTGAGTAGATGAAAGCCTTTTTTACTTGGTGATGTAACCTCTTCCAATTGGCCCCGGTGGGGTTCGGGAGCCAAGACCACGTCCAAGCCTACATACCCAAGGTAACTTCGATCCCTTGATCAGGCCGGTTCTCACGCAAGTTAAGTGTTGATCACCTTTCCTATGTATTTTAAAATTTCAACGTCGCGCGGCGGGCTGAGATTTGAAGCTCTCGGTGATGTAAATAGGAAAGGTCACTGACGTGAATATAGATATATATGTGTATGTGGTGCTTGTGTGTAGGTAATACAAATTAGAGTATAGTACTACTTAGAGGAAGTGATCAAACTGGGAGGAAACCAGTAGGACATTCCTGACTAGGATTTTGCAGGTACTTGGTGAAAGTCACCTATTAAGGAAAGCGACGATGGCTGGCTATATTGGACGGGGACTCACAAGTCTCATATACCCACCAGTTGTTTGCTAGTTGTTGAATTTTTTTTTTTTTTTTTTTTTTTTTTTTTTTTTGTAATAATATCATTAGCGAGAGGAGACAGCACCTCCTGCATTGGAATATTGGAATTAACAGCCCAACTCCGTTAGGCTGCTCCGCCGACCATATTGATCTCAAAAACTAGACAAGTGTCGGAAGAGGGAAAAAAGCAAAAAAAAAAAAAAAAAAAAAGATTGAGTGACCAGTAGGTGATTTGAACACCTAGCCTTTCGATGCCAACTTCCTCTTCGAAACCCCGAGGTCACGATAAAGGCAACTGGAGTCGAACGCGCTACCGTTGCGCCAACCAGCCTAATGTTTTAATAATTTGTATAATACCATAAATTATGAAACCTAATACCTAATGCTGGCATTTAGTCGGGAGCGTGAAGGGATTGTGTCACGTGGGTTCTGAGAGACTGGACTCTGAGCTCGAGGAACCTGCTGTGCGAGAACAGCTTTAGAATCGCTACCACCCTCCATGCATGGGGTTTCACTGTCCTCTGTCATCTTTCAAGTACTGCCACGACCTCCTCGACGTGAATATGAATGCTAAATTTGAGGGGTACTGGAGGTAGATGTTTCTTTGGGCCCCTTCATTTGCATTCTCGTTAAATTGCTACCAGAGCTATCAGCTTGTTATAGTAATATCGAGGCCACAAGCTGGATCCCCGGGTCGACTTGGCACCAATACTGCTGCCCTAAATGAACAAAGTCCACCCTCTCCCCATCTGGAGCCCAAAATCAATCTTGCTGCTTCTCCCTTCGTGCGTTCTCTGGGCCATACGTCATCCGGGCCCCCTCGACTATCAGTTCTCTGAATACGGCATCCTTCTCCACCTACTCTTCCTCTTCAACAGCTCTTTTAGTGTAATAGTCGAATGTATCATCCCTCATACCTCCATCTGTGCCCTTAACACCTCAAGACAACTTGGCAACTCATCAATCAACTGAAAACCCCCGTCTCCCCTATCCAAACCCTTGAGCTCGAAGGCGCGAGCGGGGTTATGTGATTAAATAGTATCGTTGGTGTTCATTACTCGTGAGTATGCAGCACTGCGGATACGACGAGGCATGGCTGACGTTCGTGAACGACTAAATACGAACTGGAGATGAGGCTAGGTGGAAGATAGGTATGGTGGAGTCTGGGCTTGTTACCCGACTGGCAAGAAACTCTTGACTCGGTCCCCTACTCTACCGCAAGGTGAGTTCACTCCTGAATTCCAGTGTCGCTATGGGTACACGGGGGCTTGATGTGAGAGTGAGCTTCTACTCATGCTGAAGTCTTTGTCTTTTTTTTTTCTTGAATTTCCGCCTATTATTGTTTGACCATTACAGTCTTGAGTCATGGCTGAGTTGCTTAATGATATCTCAGGGAGGAGGTAGGAGGAGGGAAACAGAAAAAGTAGGTGCGGAACGTGAAGTAGTATCGGCAGCTGCTGTGAGCAGCAGGAGAGCACGAACAATTTCTCACAGCCATGAACACCATGGGTTCCCTGCTGGCAGGTAGCAAGGAGGAGCAAGTGGAGCGAACGAGTGGTGAGCGACAGGTATCAAAGGCTCGGCTCTCTGTTGCTGGTTATTGTACATGTACATGTTAGATATAAAACAGTCAGGAAGATGAATCGTGTGGAGAAAGAACAATAGTACGACGGCCAAAGGGAACAATAGAAGAAGCGTGAATGACGGGGATGAAGTAGTGATAGTGGAAGCCAATTCCGTCGACACAACCCCTTACCCTCACACCAACGCATCGTGCCAGCACTGTGACAAGAAACTCCACATAGTGCTCTTGGCACCTTGAGAGCTGTTGCTTATGTAAACGACATCACATGATTTTCTAAACCGCTGCTCAGCATGGACATAGGGTAGTATGATATGCTGCTGTCTTGTGGTTGAGAGTACAACAAGAGACAATGGAGAGGTATAGAATTGAGGGTCCCGGTTCGAATCCGATCTCGAGCCGGAGAAGAAGGTTGTCCTGTATCAATCTAAGATGGACTGTAACGCTCCGGTTCACTTTTAGTGGAACCAGGGCAACCTGTTTTTTAATTTTTGCTGTATAGCCTGGCCAGTGGTTAGCTAGTTGCTATCGTATCCTGACACAAAGTGAGCACTCATTGGTGCAAGGTGGCAAGGGTATTTTGGCCCATTGTCACTACCGTCCGCTGTACTTCTTATTTATGTATACCTGACTAGTTGTTACGGACTTCAATTCAGCAGTATGTAGGAGGATAAGTGGCTAACACGTGGCGAAGCGAGCCCGACAACCGCTCCTGTAACAACGAGACTATTCAGGGATCACCAGCCGCGTACGCCATAAGAGGTAAGGATCGACGGTAAACATCAGAGTATTAATTTGTGAGTGACCATTTCTCAAAGGAACTCTCGTCAAGTTTGTTAACTCTGCATTGAACAGATTTAGCTGGCTGTTCTTACCAAACGGCCACGATGGATCTCAATGCGACGGTAACACAGATCCATCGTGAAGTTCTCGGTGTTTTTGCAATCTTGCCTCAGAATTTTACCACACTTCTAACTTCAGTCACCGCAATCGTTGTCGCTACGATAGCTATCCTTCATGTTCGCGCGAACAAGTACTCCTCCGTGTCGTACACCGTGCCGATCCCTGAAGAATGTTTGCCTGAATGGAAGGGGGCAGTGCTGGACAATCCCTCGATAAAGGTGCCCCTCGCTCTCAAACTGCATACAAATGTTCAAGGTGTGCTAATTTCAACAAATTGAAAGGCTCCTGATGGTAATGACATCCAATGCTATTGTCCTGCAAATGGAAAACTACTCGGATATGTTACTCCCGCCTCATCTGCAGACATTGATCATGCTATCACAAAGGCCACGGAAGCTCAATTGGTCTGGGCCAAGACCTCATTTGATGATCGAAGAAAGGTGTTGCGGACGCTTCTCAAGTGGGTCACATTCATATTGAGGCAATTCCTCTCGACATTCTAACCCCGACTTCTAGTTATATACTGGCGAACCAAGATGCAATTGCCCAGGCTTCTTGCCTGGATTCCGGAAAGACTCGAGTTGACGCTGCCTTGGGAGAAATTCTCGTCACAACTGAGAAAATCAAATACCTTCTTGACTATGGCGAACAAGCGTTGAAGCCTGAGAAGCGTCCAACTTCCTTCATGATGGTGTACAAAAAAGCAGAACTGAGATACGAGCCATTGGGGGTTGTAGCTGCACTCGTCTCCTGGAAGTAAGACTTCTTGTCCTGTGAATTCTATTGTCAAACCATGGAGCTCTAACCTTGTATTAGTTATCCAGTATGTTTTTTGATCTTTGAAACGTCTTGTCACCCAAGTTGGTAACTTATATTACTTAATACAGTTTCATAATCTCATTGGTCCTATTATCAGCTCGATTTTCGCTGGGAACGGTATTATTGGTAGGTGCTTTGAATCTATAAGGTGAACCAACCCTGACTTGCTATAAGTGAAAGGAAGTGAGAATACCGCTTGGTCGTCACAGTTCTTCCTTTCAATTATGAAGGGTGCACTTTCCGCCTGCGGCCACAATCCCGATTTAGTTCAGGTATTTATCCGCACTATATAAAAACGTGCTGGGAACAGAAAATTGACAATTTGAATTAATAGTCTATCATGTGTTGGCCAGATGTTGCTCCGTATCTTACTTCACATCCTGGAATCCAGCATATCACATTCATTGGCTCACGACCCGTGGCTCATCATGTTGCTTCTTCTGCATCCAAAACACTTGTTCCACTTTGTATTGAGCTCGGTGGAAAGGATGCCCATATTGTTCTTGATGACGCAAAGAATCTGAAATCGCTGTGTAGCGTCTTGATGAGGGGCGTTTTTCAAAGTGCTTCGCAGAACTGCATTGGGATTGAGCGAATTATCGCGCTGCCAAAGGTTTACCAACAATTGATTGATATTTTGAAACCAAGAATATCGAAACTGCGGCCTGGATCAGCCCTAGACGATGATGAAGTTGATATGGGAGCTATGATATCGCCAGCGTGCTTTGATAAGCTGGAAAGAATGATCGAAGAGGCCGTCAGCAAAGGTGCTAAGTGCCTTGTTGGTGGAAAAAGATACAATCATCCCAAATTCCCCAAAGGACATTACTTTTCGCCTACACTGCTCGTTGACGTTACTCCCGATATGGAGATTGCACAAAATGAGACCTTTGCTCCAATCTGTGCCTTGATGCCTGCAAAGGATGTGGACGACGCTATTAAAATTGCCAACTCCGCACACTTTGGATTGGGAGGGTCAGTTTATGGGAGGAATCAAGCTCATATCGACCGTATTGTCAATGAAATGAAATGCGGAATGGTAGCAGTCAATGATTTTGCAGTCTATTATCTCAATCAAAGTCTCCCATTCGGCGGTGTGCGCGGTTCAGGTATGCCCAACATTCCGCAATTGCCACACGGGCTGTGGATATCTCTATACTAATTAATCCAGGCTACGGACGGTTTGCTGGAGCAGAAGGGCTACGTAGTGTGTGCAATCTGAAAAGCGTGGTTGTAGACCGATGGCCCTCCTTGATCAATACTAGTATTCCGCCGATTGTTGATTATCCTATCACCAGGCCGGAGAAGAGTTGGGCATTTACCAAGGGTATGCCTTCATCTGATGCATCCGTTCTGTTATTTTAGCAATCCATTAACTATCTTACTTACAGGTTTAATTGAGTTCGCGTACGGCCAGGGAATTAAAGAAAAGGCTGGAGGTATTGCAAAGTTGCTTGGGAACATGTAAAGGTTGAAGTGATCTAGATAGTGAATGTGATTGCTTTAATAACATATTGATCCTTGTATCTTACACTTAAGCTCTTACTATTTTCCATCAATCTGTACCTTACCTTGTCTCACTCTGTCAACTGGTATGAAGATCACGTGACGCTGTCCTACCACTCAACCACCCCCTGTTTACCCGCTATGTTTCGAAGGTGAACATTTAAGTCAACGTTGCATCTCTTCCCCCACGTCACCAAAAACCTGTCCCACCCAACGCGCAGAGTGCGATCATCGCGAGAACGATACTACTCAAACTTGAAGGAAGGTATTCTTAACCAAACCATTATTATATCGCTTCCAAGCCGCGACGACATCACATAGAATGCAAAGGTCAGGGTTCCCGGCACCTGCTACCTCTCCACCACTTCACCATCCAGTTCCACAGCATGTCTCCTCCATACCAATGATGCGATCGCCACCTCCCCCTCCTAGCTCCGCTGCTGGATATAGCTCCTACGGATCTCAATCCGCAGTTCCACAACCCGGCACCACGCCTATACACCCCGGATATGGCGGGTTCT